TGGGATGCTCAGCACCCGGAATCCTGGTTTTGCCACCTCTGGGATGCTTTGCTGGGTGGCCTCATGCTTCAGATGTAAAGCTCAAATTCCTCCAGGGGTTTTGTGTCAGCAAGGACTGACTGGGGAGTGGGGGGCAGGATCTGGATGGGATGGGGGAGCAGTGTCCAGGGATGTCCAACCCCAGACTTATCCCTGGGCTTGCACCCCAAAGCCCACTTCATGTACAGAGGGGGTGAAGAGAAGAACTAGAGACACCTTGTCTTGCCTGGAAAAATGACATTTTGACACCAGTAGCAGGCAGAGAACAGCCAGAGCCTCAGGCTCCTTCCCCCGCTGTGCTGAATGCAGAATGAGCCCAGCATGGGGAGGCAGCTTGTTTGCATCCCCAGCTTACCCTGGGGCACCCTCATGTCTTTGGGGTGGCAGTCCCATGGAGACTGACTATAGGCACACCAAAAAGAAAGGTAGTCAGGAACCAGCAGCTTCCTGAGGGGAAAATCATAGCAAAGAGAAGTCCAATCAATGCACATTTCAAGGTGAGTTGCTCCAAAAATCTCTATACAGATATCAAAATATAAAATAAACCCACATAAAATATAAATATGTACAACACTAATGTAAATTTTTAAATATGTGCAATATACAAACAATAAAATATTAATGTGCTGTGATATTAATATGTTAAAATGTTAGAGTATTAAAATACTGAAATATTGAAATGCTGCACGTTATGGCAATTATGTTACATGCCAGCATACAATTAAAGGCCAAAACTGCCACTTCCCAGCTAGGACTCGGGTTGTGAAGCGTTATCCTCATGGATGGAGCAGTTGGGAAGGGGGCATCCCCATCCCAAACCTGGGCTGTCTCCTCCAAGGGCTCAGCTCCCCAGGTCTTTGTCCCTGGGGATGAGGAAGGAGATGGGAAAGGGAAGTGCTGGTGAGGAGCCCTCACAGGTCACAGGTCTCCTGCTCCCAGCATTGAGCAGCACTGAGATCCAGAGGCAGTATCCTGTCCCATCTTCCCCAGGGCTCCTCCGAGCTGCATCCTCCATTTCCACCCATACAAATGAATATAGGCAATATTAGTTTTTTTCATCTATTTTCAATGCACATATCTGTAGAATCTATTGAGTATACTTCTGGGGTTTTTTAATTTACCACGATGCTAAATGAGCATTTCGCCTCTCTCTCTGGTATTTCAATTTTACATTACTGGCTTGCAGGTGCTGTATTATACTGGAGAAGCTTGAAGTAAAAAGATTTTAAAAAAACCTTTTTAAAAAAATAGAAGGGGTTTGTGAGCAGAGGAGTGCCTGGATGAGTTTTGGGTCACCCAGGGAGCGCAGGTTGCAGGTGGTTTATAATATTTCTGTGGTCCCCGGCTTGTATTTGGGTTTTTTCATCCATAAAGAGTACGAAGCTTAGCTCCCCCTGCCCCCTTTTTTTCCTGTTGCAGCCTCAAGTGACTAAATCTGTTGGCAGAATGTGGGGAGAAGCAGTCTGACACCCGAATAGCATCTCCCAGCATAATTTTTTTTTTTTTTTTTTATAAATCGTGCTTTTCCTGGCAAGAAAGTAATGAATGAGTTTTAAGCATGACCATAAATGCAATGTTTCGCGCTGTCATTCGCAGAATACATTTATTTTAGGTGCCCTCCACCCTTTCCACCATCTCCCTCCGGTTTATTTTAACAATGCTGTAATTTTATATTATAAAATGGGATTTTTCTCTTTAACTCCGTGTCGTCTGCTCAGCTTTTGCATGTGTGTGTGTGTGTGTGTGCGTGCACTGGTGACATTTGTCACCATCAGATGCTATTTTTATGCCTGTTATTATTGAGGACCCCACCCTTGGCTTGGGGAGGGGAAGGGGGGAGTGCAGGAGGAGGGAGAGGAGGGAGGGGGAGGAAGGAAAACGTCAGGCTCAGCACACTTCCAGCCTCTGGCCATCAACCTCCCCGGGGGCATGGGAACCATAAGGTCATTTCTCAAGCTCACTGAGCTCCAGAGCTGTCAAACCACCCTGCGAGTTTAAAAAATGCAAATGTATGCAAATGAGCGGGCTGCTTCTCTCTCTCTGCCTCTCCCT